AAACAGTGGCAAAAAAAATGCTATCAGTAAAGTATGCCGTAAAAAAAAATGTCCGTCTTAAAAAAATGACATTTAAAATTTGCTTTTGAAACTGAAAAATTTTATATATTTTGTACTTCAAAACTATGTGCAGAGTGAAATTCTAAAGTACTTAAACCACGCAAAAGGGGGTCAAAGAGATGAGCGAAACATACCAATCAATATGAGAGAAGATATACTTTGTTGTATTTAAGGATATGGAGTACTGAGTATGTATATAACAACATAAGTGTGAAATAAAAAAAATATTGACAATCAATATGCAGATTCATATATTTGCAATTCCTACACCACAAATAATATCTAGCTTTGGAAATCAATATGCAGATTGTAATTTTTTTTATTTATCATAAAAGAAGAAATATTAAAACTGTGTAAAGATGGAATATCAATTTATTTACTCTGTTTGTTGGTCTATTAGGCATCAATCAGAACATGTATATCTGGATGAGAAAGATCGAAATTGATTCAATTATGATATGTAATGGAAAAATACCTGTACTATGCAGTGAAGAATTGATACTTAGTGTGGAGTCCAGAAACCTTTTTCGACAGTGAAACCTTAGCCGCAAGTGGTCAGACGATTTCTCTGCTTCTTTTATGGCGGCTGGAGCTTTGGGGAATTGCAGATCTGGGCGCAGCGTGGAACGAAGAAGAACAGATGCGAACTTCTGTGATGCGCAGCGGAGAACGGCGAAAAGAACAGGAGAGGCATACGAGAAAAAAATTAGGGTTTGAGTCTCGTGCTGATAACGTGTTGTGAACTCGATACTTTATTCATCATATACGGGGGTATTTATACATAAGAGGTATAGTCTAAGTCAATAAGGAAACAATATATTTTAAATAGAAATATATCTGCCAGAACATCAAGAAAGTTCTTCCCGCAGACGGGGACAAAGATTTTTCCTCAGGTTTATCTGATTCACAGGAATCACCTCCCATCGACACGTTAAGAAGAACATGGCGCGTTGCCCTGCCACGCGTCGCCAAGTTCCACGCACTCAGCAATGTTCCGTTGGCGCTTTTCCGGGAAAACCGGGCCAAACCCTCTCCTCGCATCCTCCTCTGCAGAGATCTGCAGCCCTCCGTCTTCTTCAATGCACTCATCAGCGCTCCAACAAAATTCGATCGGACAAGAATGGGTGTCCTAGAACACGTTGCAAACGTTGTAAATAGCAGCAGCAGCCACGAGCAGGTGGTGCCGATTACCGTGTTCGTTGCTATTTTGTGCGTCTGTTTGGTGGTCGGCCATTTGCTCGAAGAAAACCGATGGGTCAACGAGTCCATCACCGCCATTTTCATAGTAAATTCACGCCCCTCTTAGTTTTGAGTTGGACGAATTTGATTGTGTTGTGTTGGATGGAATTGCATTTGAATTGGATTTCTTATTTTGTTGCTCTTGGTTTAGGGATTTCTGGCTGGGACTGTCATTTTGTTGATTAGCAAGGGGAGAAATTCTCACATACTGAGATTTAATGAGGAACTGTTCTTCATATATCTCCTTCCACCAATAATATTCAATGCCGGGTAACAAAGCTTTTAGTTACCGGAAAAAAGTGGTATTTCCTGGCTAGAGAATGGTAGATTACATACGTTTTTGAAATTTATATCACCAGATTCCAAGTCAAGAAGAAACAGTTCTTCCAGAATTTTCTGACTATTATGCTGTTTGGGGTTGTTGGGGTTTTCATATCAACCTGCATCATCACTACAGGTATTCTTATGATCTTGGTGAAAAGTGAGAGGTTCTCTTGCTTGTGGTTCCTTTTTTCTTAATTGATGGTTTATAGTCTTGTGGCATAGGCAGCTGGTTGCTGTTTCCAAGGCTCAGTATTAGTAATCTGAGTGTTCGCGACTATCTTGGTCTGCCCTTTTCCTTTAAACCTTTTTTTTCCCGGATTAATTTTCTAGAATCCAGACTAACATTAATTTGTTGTTCTTTTGATTAAGCTATTGGTGTCATATTTTCGTCAACCGATACTGTTTGCACGTTGCAGGCAAGTTAATTTTATCTATGATGTCATATGCTGGTTTTATTGAATAAAAATACTGTCTAAAATTCTGGAAGTTGGCGTGTAGGTATTGCATCAAGAGGAGACCCCCCTGCTATATAGCCTGGTTTTTGGGGAGGGAGTGGTCAACGATGCTACATCAGTTGTCCTCTTCAACGCAGTTCAAAAGATCGATGGAAGTACACTTGATGGCTGGGCTTTCGCCAGAGTCCTCGTTGACTTTTTGTACCTTTTCTTCACAAGCACTGCACTTGGTGTTGGTGTAAGTTGTACTCACTCTTTACACTATGTTTGGTTCAAGGAATTTGAGAGGGATAAGAAAAGAAAATAAGGAAACGAAAAGAAAAGTGGAAGGAAAAGAAAATATGAGAAGAAATGAACTAAAGAGAAGGAAAACAGATTTCCCTCCATTTCGGTGAGGAAAAGGAGAGCAAAACACTTCCTTTTCTTTTCCTTTTAAATTTCATGAACCAAACATAGTGTTACTTTTCTACCTAATAACGGTGTTGGTACTTGGTATTCTCTAGACTCACTATAATGTGTAGCTGCGTGCTTTCATTTTTTACTGCAGGTTGGGCTGTTAACATCATACATTCTAAAAGTTTTCTACTTTGGGAGGTAAATTTAGTATTAATTTTTTTTCCTTTTTAACTGCATATCATTTTGTATGCTTGGCTTTGTAAGATATACAAAGGCAGACAAGATGCAGAACAATCTAAGGGTCTAGTTAATCTGTCTTCAGGCATTCCACTGTTCGCGAAATAGCTCTCATGGTTTTAATGGCATACCTATCCTACATGTTGGCTGAGGTAAATAGCATAGAAGAAGACTTGCATCCCATTCTGAAATTCTTTGAAGAGTTTGTGTTTCTCCACCTAAAGAATGACACATTCTATTTCGTAGCTCTTCAGCCTTAGTGGGATTTTGACTGTCTTCTTTTGTGGAGTTCTCATGTCTCACTATACATGGCACAATGTGACTGAAGGTTCGAGAATTACTACCAGGCATGTGCGATCAGGTCCCATTTAGTATGCTTCCCATACTGTTCTGTCATAAAATTATATATGCTGATTGTTTAGTGAACTGTGTCAGAATCAATTATGCTTACACAAATAGATGTACGTACTACACACAAAGAGAACATTAACTAATGAAGTTATGGAAGGGAAGTTGATGGGGTGTAAGCCTGTCTTTCACTTATTATTGCAGGCACGTATTTGCGACTCTATCTTTCATTGCGGAAACATTCATATTTTTGTATGTGGGAATGGATGCTATGGACATCGAAAAGTGGAAAATCAGCAAGTTGAGGTTAGTCACTCCCCTAGGTGGCTAAAACCCAGCCCCTCCTCACCTAGAGATCCGTACAGATGATAATTGTTTCTATTATTTGAATTCTTACTGGAGTCTAATTTTAACTAGACCTCATTTATATTGGGCCCTTCTTTCAGCTCTAGTTCAACCTCTTTTTCTGTTTCAATTTCTAGGGTGTGCGAAATCCCAAGTTTTCTCAATTCAAGTGTTTTAACCCAACCACACACTAGAAATCCCAAATTTTCTCAATTTCAATATTTTTTATATTAAAATTTTTGCCTATTCGGTCTAGGCCGTCTAATTTTTTTTGTGTGTTCAGCCACTGAAAAGAATGTGAAGAAATTGTATGCTATCCAAATATTTCATTATCTAGCACACACCCTCACATCCATATTGACAATATTTATATATCATATGTATAAATTTAGAAACCTGGATTAGAGGTTCAATGCTTTCCCGCTCTAAAGCTATCCACCTCTAAAAAGGAATCAATTCATTTACTATCCGTTCCTCTGAACTTATTAACCAGCCGTTCCTTGTTTAAGGATGGAAATTCCTACAAACAATTGGTTACTATGCCAGAAACATTGCCCATAAAGTGTGAATTTAAGTCAGCATAAAAGCAGTGCATCTTAGGGGGGTGTATTCAATTTAGATTTTTTAAGATTGTGTAAGATTTTTCATAATCCATGGATTCCATAAAATCTAGGGATTGTTTTAATTCTACATGGAGTTTAACAGATTTTATTGTATTTTATTATTCAGATTTGTTTGGATTCCAAAAAGTCTATAGATTGTTTTAAATCAATAATTGATTTAAAAATTGATTATAATAATAAAAATATTAATTACAAATAGATACAGAACTCTCACGGTTTACCATTGAAATAAAATGAGAATGAAGCAAAGAAACACATCAAACACATTTGAGATGGATAACCCTAATTTGGTAGATTTTTAAAAATAAAACTCCAACAAATGCATTTAAAGGGACGCGATCTGGAATTCCCCAACAAATGCAACCAAATCGTAAGAGAGGAGACCACTCCCATGGCTGAAATTCTCCAACAAATGCATATAAAGGGACACATCCCTAATTTCATCCATTCAGCAGCAACTCCACCGAAACAGAGCAGCGACGTGAGAGATTTTTGCCTGCGAAGTGTTCAATGATAGAGTTTCTCAATTTCAGCCGACCAGAGGCGAGGATGGAGGAGAGATGAAGAAGACGGGTGAAGAAGAAGAACGTCCGATGAAGAAGAAGCCCGAAGAAGAAGAAACGGCCGAAGAAGAAGTAGATGGAAGGAGTTTATAAAATCTTTGTTTTTGGGTGAGATTTGGGAATGGATTTATATTTATACCCGATGCTTAAAAATCCATCAAAATCTACATTTTTAAAAATCTTTAAAAATCTATCAACTTTTTTAATACTATCATATTTAGAAAAACTTTTTAAAATCTCAATTGAATACATTTAGATTTTAAATGACTTTTTAAAATCTAAATTGAATACCTACAGATTTTTAAAATCCAAAAAAATCCATCAGAATCCAGATTGAATACACCCCCCTAAATATTGAAAATTCTGAGTGATTGTCTAGCATGATTCAATTGTCGCATCCCTATTCATTCTTCTTTCTTTGTTCCACGGCTCCCAATTCTAGTGTTCAGAAGTCGATGGGTGTATATGGTACTGTCCTCCTACTCATACTAGTAGGACGTGCAGCTTTTGTATTCCCTCTCTCTGCTCTTTCCAACTGTATGAACCGGAACCGCACAAGATCATCGTCAATAACATTGAAGCACCAGGTTATGATCTTTAGAGTTGTCCTTAACTGACCTTGTCATTAATTGTTCTTCTCACATAAACTTGTCTTTGAACCACTCTTTTTCTTTTTATCTTTGATCTAAAAGGTAGTTATATGGTGGGCCGGGTTAATGAGGGGAGCTGTATCTATTGCCTTAGCATTCAAGCAGGTATGGCTTTCGTGTTTCCTGATTGTGAAGAAACAATTAGAGAGAATGTTGGAAGAAATGTGATTACGAGTTAACTTTATATGCTTCTGGGTGCATTTAGTTTACTCACTCTGGCGTCACACTAGATCCCACCTACGCTACAATGGTCACAACAACAGTCATCGTAGTGCTCTTCAGCACAATAGTAAGCAAATTGATTTCTATCTATTCCTTATTCCCTACAGCCCAACCATCTTGATCCTTTTGTTCTTGCTAAATGAATACCAATTATTATATGGGGATTTTTTTTAAACTATAAAAGTGTCTCATGCAAATGCAGGTATTTGGTTTTCTGACAAAACCACTTGTAAGTTACCTTCTTCCTCATCATCATGACAGCAGCAGCGGCATTGACCGGGAACCAAGTATCTCTAAGGAAGACATGAGGCTTCCATTGCTTTCGTTTGAGGAATCAGCAACAACCAACATTATGCGCGCAAAGGATAGTTTGTCCATGCTCATCGAAAGGCCCATCTATACTGTCCATTCCTATTGGAGGAGGTTTGATGATGCCTATATGAGGCCAATATTTGGTGGGCCACATGCCATGAACTCTCAAGATAGAAGGTAGGTTGCCCCCGGGGCACAACTCAGCTGACAAAGGCAGTTGGTGAGCCTTGCTAGCGACCTAAAGGGTGGGGGTTCAAGTCTTGGAGGCGTCTCTTTGGATTTGGCCCCTTGAAGGTGAGATTAGCCATAACAAAAATCATGTCGTCCCTGGCCAGTTGAGTCACATTGCGCAATTGATCTCATCCACCAACCCCAGTGAAGGGGTGTGGGAGACTTTGGGTGGGGATTTCACCCTTTTTTTTCAAGATAAGAAGGTAGGCTATCTGTAATCATGGATCACTTTAAGAATGAAAATATCAATCTTGTTATATCCAACTTTTTTCTAGTACTATTAAGTCTATTAGAATTTAATATTTGTGGATATAATTTTTCATAACCGACTCAAGCTTCAAACCTGTGATCTCTATTTGGGAGAGCCTTAGTAATGATGCTCGACCTAAAGGTTTTTTTGCTCTGTCTTTCCAACTTTATGATGTTATTGAACTTTTTTAAACTCGTAATTTTAACCTTGAATGTGATTAGGAATGTAAATGAACTAGGTGAAACACCACCCTTCGCCCATCAACTTTTCATCGTCACCATCCGGCTGGGTCTGAGGGACTCTTAGGGATGTGGTTCATTTAATTTTTATGGAGCCCATTCGGCACTCGTTTCGGAACCCACCATATCAGATCCACCTATTATTGCTCTACTCTACCATGCCAAAGCCAATGAAATAATTTGAGATGTAAGGAATGACATGAAGCACTAAAGATTTCTAAATATTCGTAAAATGAAAAAAAATAAATTGCACAAGGCATAAAATAATACTCCGTACTGTATTACATCTGCCTCTTATATACTTTGCACTTTTCTATGTGTTGTTTTTATATATATTTTCCTTCTCTTTTTCGTGAAGAGATGTGTGATTAATTCTTGGTTTTTCTCTACTGATTAAATTGATTTTCAAAATTTCACTTTCTTGAACCACATGAAAAATGCGTACAGAATATTTTGTTTAGGACACTTGGAGCCCAATAGTACTTGTAAGATTGTTTGCATTGCTTTTGATACATTGCTCCCTAAAGGTCTGCCGCACCCGCTCAGATAAACGAGGTGTTGCCACACCTTATAGTGTGCTTCGAATTGACAAACGAGGTAAATCGCGAGATGTGCTTTAACTAGTTCGGCTTCAAGGAGTTGTCGAACTAATATTGCCTTGAGTTACCCATTTCTGTAATTTAATTTATGTCCCTAATTAATTAAACCAAAGTGGAACATAGTTAAAGTGCAAGCAATTTTCCAAATTAAATTATAGAGTAAATTTCGTGATTAGTCCTTTATAACATGAGATTTTTTCATATTTAGTCTTATATTACCATAAACATTACCTCTGTGGTTCTTCTTCGATGAGTACTTTTTCACAAATAATCCTTTTTTGATCTTCTGTCATATTTGTATTGATTTGAAGGCTAAAAGTGTAATTTGACGCTAATTTTATGTCCAGTGACATATTCTAATATCAGTAACCGGATAACAAAACAATAATGACTATGAACTTGGACTAGGATTCCGAGGGAAAACCACATCTGTAGACTCTAGCTGTAGTAAAAAGTGACTAGGATTCACAAACGATGCATCACGAGCGGTCTCTTGAATTGTAATTTGACGATAACTTTATGTCCAGTAACATATGCTCATTGTGAACTTACACGTTTAGCCCTCAAATTAACACTACTACGATATAAGATCGAAAGGACTATTTGTGGAAAGATACTTATAAAACAAGGACCACCAATGTAGTATTTGATAAAGTAACTACACGAACAAGGAACACAACTTTTTTTTGAAGCGAAAAGAGAGATTATACTCCGTATTAAACTAGCAATAAAGTTAGGGGGAAAACCAATTCACTACCCCATGCTCATAGCAAAATGAGATATGCGCGCTAACAGATGGGGCGCCTCCTTAGTAGAGCGAGGAACAAAAAATGCTTAAAATCTCCGCCATAAATTTCCTAAAGATCTTACAATCTAAAATAATAGAATAAAAATACGACAAATCATATGTTGAACTAATCATTCTTATAGATAACTTCTTTGCAATCTTGCTCAATGATAATTCCTTCTATTCTTTGGTCTTGATCTAGCTCAAAGCTTCTTTTACATTACCGTTATGGTCCCTTGCCAAGGAGCCAAGTCCCGGAACGCCATCCACAAGGCTTGTTGATTCGTCAACATTGATCTTCACAACATTCCTCAGCGGTTTCTCCCAAGTCATGGATATCTCTTCTAGCCACAAAATCACTCTAAGTATGTGGGATCAATTTTAAAAGCAAAGCTTTGAGCATGTTGCCCACCATTTTACTCATAATCTAATAAAGAACTCTGCATAGATCAATAGGACACAACTCTGCCACACCCTTTGGGTCCTGTTTCTTGAAAATGAGGACAACTGATATCACCAAGAGAAGGAGGTATAGTACTCTCAAGCCAAGGTGCAAAACTCAAAAATTTGAGACTTTCGGACCAATGAATTCACAAAAGCATTGATAAAACCTCGGGTTAAACCCTCGTGGACTTATTAAGATGCATTGAAAAAATAGCATGTTTAACCTCCTCTACTCTGAACGGCTGGATCTGACGTCCACAAAGACCTTGCATGGAATAAGTCAGACCA